ATCTTTAAAAAACATTTTCTACGAAGAAAGTAAGTAAAAGTTTTTTCAAAATATTTTAAATAAACTTCAAATTTTCTAAATTTTTCGAATAAATATTGAAATTTTAATTTTTAAACGAATTTTAAACGAAGAATTTAACTTATTTTTAAAATTTTTTAAAATATGGCGATATAGAGCCGTTTTTTCTGTAAACAAGTTTTTTTAACTAAAATTTCGGACATGCTAAGAATGAGTAAAAATTTCAAAATTACTCAAAAAATACTTTAGTGTTTCTTCTCAATAATGAAATATACTTTTATCATGAAAAATTTTTTCGTTAATTTTCAGACCGTTCTTGTCATGCTATGGATTTTCCTAAATAGAGGTACTTAATTTAAAAAAACCTTTCCATGATCTACTCCGTAATATAAATTTCATGACGTGTAAATAAAGAGGGACGTCTACTAAAACATCGGTATCCACTAAAATAGCTTTTATACTAATAAGAAACATAAACGTTTTAAAAATTAATTAATTCCCTATATTATTTTTATATATACATATATACGTGTGTATTTGAGCGAGTGACTCTGTGTACCATTATATAATTATTTGGTATATTTGCTATATTTTGAGGCTAAGCACTCCCAATATTGGGTTTAGAGTATGTGCAGCTATAAATATTATTTTATATATACATATATACGTGTCTTTTTAAGAGAGTGTCTTTATGTACAGTTATATAATTATTTGGTATATTTGCTATATTTTGAGGCTAAGCACTCCCAATATTGGGTTTAGAGTATATTCTGGTACAAATACTATAAATATTGTCTGCATGGTCAGTAATGAGGCAATATGACAAGCAGTTTGATAACATAATCTTATACCGTATTGCCCGTATGATACGACGCTATAAGTGGTTAGTCGTCCAATTCATTTTTCAAAAAAATTTTGAGATTTAATACGTGATCTTCTGTGTCATTTTTCATTCTGTCACGACAATTTTTCACATTTTGGACCTCTTATTAAATATTTGTGGTTATCATTAATTCGGTTTTCAATAGTTTAGCACAATGTTATACCTATTCGTTTCGTACTTTTCGTTTGTCTCAACGGCCTTCGTCCATTCATCATTTAACAGACGGATCAGACCTTTGAAGGTAAAAAACTTTCTTTTTTGGGTGTCTGTATAGCAGGACAGAACTAGAGTAAAGTGGATTTTTCTTTTTATGGCCGCTTTTTTTTATTGTTACTGTCTGTACCCCTTTACTGTCAATATTCCTGTTCAGTGCTGAATCCAATGTTAATGGGACTTCATCCATATTCCCTATTTCATCATTTATATCTTTTCTAGTGACAACCTACCTGTGAAATGTTAGTATTTTATTTATGGATTTTTCAGTCATTTTCTGGGCAGTCCGGAGTTCAATTCATCTTCAAGTTGTTCTGTTCCATTAAAACAGTAATATCAAGACGAGGATCCAGTAAATTCATTAGTCAGTGTATTAATCTCTGTTGACATGGACAGCCGACAACGTATCTGTGGAATTTTTGTATTTTATTTACGGATTTCTCAGTCATTTTCTGTGCAGTACAGGTCTTCGCATTCATCTTCAAGTTGTTCTGTTCCATTAAAACAGTAATATCAAGACGAGGATCCAGTAAATTCATTAGCCAGTATATTAATCTCTGCTGATAAAGACAGCCGATAACGTATCTGTGAAATGCTAGTATTTTATCTTCGTATTCCTCAGTCATCTTCTGTTGTATCCGAGTCTCCATTCTCATATTCTATTTGTACCGTTCCATAAAACGGTAACACCAAGACGAGGACTCAATAAACTCATCAGCCAATATATTCTTCTCGGCTGCCAGTATATTTGCCTTGCACATTTTTAGAGTGTATATTCCATACTTCCCATGCAATTTATGACTTGTTCTAGATCTGGAAATTTTGCTTGCTTAGAACGTAGTCTACGTTGTCGTTTCCCTTTTTTTTTAAATTCCGACTCCTTCTTTGTCTATTCCCAAATTATTTTTTCGGTGATCCATAGTACCTTTCAGTTACCCTCTTCCCATATCGCTTAGCACAATTACTTGTAACTTGAATGGAATAGAGTATGCCTGTCGTCTTTGTCTTGATGCCATTCTGTTCATTCCTGGAAGATTATCCTATGTTGTGCCGACAAAATTAGTGACGTCGTCTTCTTTGAGGATGGTAATTGGTTTGTCTGTCTGTTGATGTACCAACACTATACAAAACATGGTGTAAAATAGATACTGCGAATTTACAGTACATTTGGAGTTAACGGTAGGGTTATTGAACTAACTGGTTTGTTTCAATAGTATGCAAAAGACGGCAGTAAGCGTGGTATTCTCGGTGTAGACATGAAATATAACGATCAGCCTGGATTACGTGGCTGCTGTTGGGGTTCGTGAAGTTCCCGTTCGAAATGCCGAGATGAACGAACGATTTACAGTACCAGTAGGAAGATGCCTTCTGCTGATTATCATCAGTACCCGAAAAAATAATAACGGGATATACAGCATTTATCAGGTAAGAATGATAATTGTAGGCTTATGTGTCTGGAGTTCGAGATTGTATCTCGTGACTGGGGTTCGTGAGATTTGGCAAACTCCTTTCTACAACTTGATAATACTTTTTCAAGAAAAGATGTATCTTAGCATACCTATATATTTATATTTATTATATATATATATATATATATATATATATATATATATATATATATATCTGTGTGTGTGTGTGTGTGTATGTATGTATACCAAGATATTATCTCTCTCATATATACCCACAAAAATAACTTTCATTGTAATAAGAAACAAAGTCGACTTTAAAATAAAACATTTTAAATGTATATGACGATAAGATCTTATCATTTTACATTTAAAACTGGCCACATTTACCCTAAGATTGATGCAAACAATTTCTTCTCTGGCCTTTCTCTCTTGAAGAAATCTCTTCCGGCTTCTTACTTTCCATTCAAGATTTGTCTAAAAAAAATTTCAATGCAATGTGTATCGATCTGTTCCGTCGTCTTAAATTCCTTTATTTATATTTTTCTTATATTTTTTCATAATCAGTACCATTCTTGATGTAAGTGGCTTTCTTGCCTTGCTTGGGGTAAAATGATTACCATACACACACACACACACACACACACACATATATATATATATAATATTAGTGGTAAATATACACATACATATGCAAAATATATAAATATATATACATACATGCATACACATACATAATCAGTATCATTCTTGATGTAAGTGGCTTTCTTGGCTTGCTTGGGGTAAAATGATTACCACACACACACACACACACACACACACACACACACACACACACACACACACATATATATATATATATATATATATATATATATATATATATTAGTGGTAAATATACACATACATATCCAAAATATATAAATATATATACATACATGCATACACATACATGTATATTTTTTTAATAAAAATTCCAAGAGGATAGAATTCAGGTAGAACTCAATGTCCAGGACAGAGTAAGGATATAATAAAATGTCTTAAACACTAATATATATATATATATATATATATATATATATATATATATATATATATATATAGGCAGAAAATATTCATCCTAACATTTTTAATAAAAAGAACAGACAAAGTCTGTTTAGTTTTTATTATATTTTTCCAATTTTCGGCTAACGTGTTGAGTATTGTGATCGAAGTTTTGGATAAAACTCTCCAGAGTTCATATTCTGTTATTTCTGTTCAAGTACTTCCAACAAATATCACCTGAAGAGGGACGGAGCGTACAACGGCCGAAACGTCACGAATGTGACAGTAAAGATGAGGATAAAAGTCTGAATAACGTAAATGGTTTAAATAGTTACAAAACTGTTTACAGACAGAACTGAATTATTAAGACACAAAGAGTTAGGGAAATTAAGTATAATAAACTGCACTTTCATATATATATATATATATATATATATATATATATATATGGGACTGAATAGTTTCCTAAGCAATAGAAACATGACTTTACAGACAGATGTCAAGAATACCCTAGGCAAAACACGGGAGCAATGAGTAAGTTCTAAAGAAAACGACATCGAGAAATACATAATTAAATTCAGAAAGTAACAGTTGAAATCTCTGGTAGACATAATGATGAAAGTTGTCCTGGAGAATTTACCGCTCAGAAGACATATTGAAGACAAGAGAAGACAGAAACAGCGAGTGTGTTTCATTGGATGTCGGAGATATATATTATAGTATAGTGACAAACGTTGCTGAGAGCCACGAAGTAGTTGTGAAGAGTTATGATTACCTACGTCTTGAGGAGACACAGCACAGAAACTAAGAATTCGTCGCCTCACCGCACTTATTAAAGTGAAACTATAACGATTCATTTCTTTTTTTTTAATGTTGAAAAGAGTTTCGACTGCAGCCTCGATAAAATGTGAGCTCACTGACAACTTGTTAAGTATGTTCTCATCTCTTTTAAATGATAAGAAAAAGAACTGAAGGAAAATATGAACTCAGACAGCAAGAAGACACAGCAATCTACGAAGTGAATCTGTTTACAAAATACGGTTTTAAAAAATCAATTTTATTTCTATTCCTAGCTATATAATTTCTGGCGACTCGTATCAGAGTATGACGGTCTACTTGGGCGGCTAACGAATCCCAGTTCCAGACGCCTGTTCAGGCATATTTGTGTTTGTTCAATGCCCAGATAGCTCGCCTGTAGTTTATACGGGTTCTGTGCTAAGCGTTTCTGGGAGAGACCGCATTATCTGGCGTGATCAACAATCTGAACAATACCGTTACTCTCAAACCGTCGGCCAGGACGCATAACAACTAAGTATTCAGTACAAAACTATGAATAATTGTTGAATGAATATCGGGTAAGCGTGAGAATCAATGAGAATTTATATTATTGGATTTATAATAATAGTATTTCAGATTTTGGTTTGGAAATCATTGAAATGTTTTTTTTTTTCTCTTTCTCTCTCTTGTCATTCATTCCTTATTTTATACGTTTTTATCCGAATTTCATTTTCTCTTTTAATTTTCTTTCTTTTTTTTCGTTCTTAGAATTTTTATTCTCTTTATTTATCTTCGGTATTCGCTTTTCTAATCTCGTAAATATCTCCATGACTTTAAATTCTCGAATTGCTTCGTTTCTTTCTTTCTGTCTTTAAAGTTCTTATTCTTTCTTTTATTTTTTGTCTTTCTTTCATTCTTTCTTTCTTTTCTTTTTCTTTCCTTGTTTATCGTTGTGACTCTTTCTTTCTTTCTTTCTTTCTTTCTTTCTTTCTTTAGCGTCGTTACTATTTCTTTCTTTTGCTTTGTTAATCTTTCTTTCGTTCTTTCTTTCTTTAGCGTTGTTACTCTTTCTTTCTCTATCATTGTTACTCTTTCTTTTTTAGCCTTGTTACTCTTTCTTTTTCGTTCTTTCTTTTTGTTTTCTCTTTCTTTTTTTCTTTATCATTGTAACTCTTTCTTCCTTTCCCTAGCGTTGTTATTCTTTCTTTCTTTAGCGTTGTTATTTTTTCTTTCTTCCTTTATGTTTTTCTTTCCTTCCTTTCTTCCATTTTTATTTTCCATTCTTTTTTTTCCTCTTTTTTTCCCTCCTCCTTCTTCTTTTGCCACTTATTTATTCTTCTTCCTCTCTTTGGACATAGTGCTGTAGGTTTTCTTTCTGTTTCAATAATTTCCTTTCCTCGGACGGCTACTTAATTTTCCCTTTAATTTTTCCTTTCTTTAGATTTTCTTTTATTATAGAAACACCGCTATCTATTCTTTTTTGTCTTCTTTCTTTCTTTGATTCTTTTTCGTTCTGTCTTTCTTTATTTCTTTCTGAAAATTGTTGTTTTATTTTCGGGTTATCTGTCCGGCTTTTGTCATGATTTACGCACGAACTACGATAGCTTTCGGATGCCGTTCAAAATTTTGATGAGCTGAAGAATCAAATGATTTATGTTTTTTTTTTGTCTTCTTAACAATCAGCTAAATATAACAACCATCTACGAACATATCACGCATTTGCAAGGTACTGGCTTGACATGCAAATCTGTACGGACAACGGATTTCTAGATTTGGCTAACTGTAAAAATAACGAAACATTAAGAAATATAAAAAATATCTCCATTCATGGAAATACCCGCTCTCTCAAAATGTCTCAATGAATATTGTGTGTCAATGTCAACTCTGGTTCTAACTTCAAAATTAATTAAACTTTTACAATAATAATGAATTTTATAATAATATGGCACATCGTTTCTTTATTTTTCAATCCTTCTACACGTTAGAATGAATTTGTGAGAGATTTTTTTTATAAACTCATGAATAGTTAAACAGTATAAGATTAATTTAAATGCAATATTGTTTTAATTTTATCTATCATGGTGTATCGGGTCCTTTCGAAAGAAATGGAAAAAATGAGCACTTTCCAATGATTACATTTCGATTGATTATCGAATTCGAGTTAAACTCTGAGGTTTATCTATTTGCAACAAGTCTCTCTTATCAAACACATACAAGTACAAGACAGACGTACATAAAAAAAAAACACGCATCATGGGCAGAAACACAAAAGCTACGAACGAGTTGTGTTCCACAATTTGTCACACAGATAGGGTAATTCTGAATTATTGAAATATTTCATTGCGTATATATATATATATATATATATATATATATATATATATATATATATATATATATTTAGTTGTAGTGATGTAATTTTGTAACCCTTGGTTTCACGCCCTTTGATGCCGTCAGCTGACGATCACAAATGTTTCACAAACTCATATCAGCGCAACTAAATATGTTAGCTCCATCGCATATATTGAAGGCTTTCGAATAAATACTGCCTATTTATAATATATAAATATATATATATATATATATATATATATATATATATATATATATATATATATATATATATATATATATATATATATATATATATATATATATATATAAATGCATGTTTCATTAAAAAAACGACAGACAAGGTACTACGGTTGTGCTTTTTATTTAATTTTTCTTGTGTTCTGACAAGAGCTTTCTTTTCTGGACAAAGGGTGTGTAAGAACTGTCCAAATGTTCTATATTTCCGAGCGCTTTCGGCTATACCTTTAGCCATTATCAAGGATGATTCGATTATCAGCTTAGTAGAGTGTGTGTGTGTGTGTGTATTCTGTGTATGTTCAGTGTGTGGTAGCGATGTTTTTAGTTTCCGAATACGGTTAGCACATTGTGGCTTTGTTCATAGTTAATATTGTTAAATGTTAAGAGTTGGCTTTTTCTTTTTTTTATTAGAGAGCTTCCATTATTTTAGTCTTTTTTTTTTGCAAGTGGATGCAGTTAATATATTTGTGTTTTCTACTAGTATGTTCCTAATGGTGTCGGGTAAATCTGAGTGTGAGTTGAAATGTGTTCTGATGGAACTGTCGTTTTAATGAAACATGAATAAAGGAAGGATTGCTGCCTAAATATACAAATATATATAAATGCATATATATATATATATATATATATATATATATATATATATATATATATATATATATAATACATACATATAATCAGGGGCAAATACAATCTGACTTTTAATTCGCGTTCTTGTGGTGATTTAATTTTTGCTACGTAAAATATTAAAATTAACTAATAATAGTTTATGTCATTTAAATTCATGAGTTCGAACGGTGATCAAATAAAATATACAAGAAATTAAAAAAAATAAAATTATTTGAATTCCAATTTTGAATCAAAAGTAAACAAAATATAAAGGGGCGGTAACTCTCATATCATAGTAATATCAAATAACAAAACTAATACTAAGATAGAAATATAATATAAGGTTGAAAATAAAAAAAGAAAGGGTTGGCGTTATCTAACTAATGTGTTTGGAACCAAGCCTTGTACCTATAAGATGAAATTATATAAACACATGTTATACATAAATCGAGCAGATTAATATTGAATTATATTATAATATAATATTATATATAATATTATATTATATTATAAGAAATGTTATTAATGGTGGATTCTAAGTATACCAGTTTTCTTGCTGTTGTTACAGTGTAAAAATGGCAGTGTGCACAAAGGAGAAACACATAGCAGTGTTCCGATTTATGTGGCCGGACTGAAATTCATCGGACGCTTTTACCAAAATACGGTACAGAAGAAGTGTTGTATGAGTTGATCGACAACTTTAAAAGTGGCCGGACAAACATGACGCACGAAAAAGGAGCAGGACGTCTGTCAATTTCCACCACTGACGAGCAGATTCAGCAATCTTACCAGATCGTAATGGCAAATGGATTTGCATGTTCTTTGCAGATTCGGATCACTGTCCTGTGTTTCTCCTTAGTGCATACTGCTAGCGGGGAGGCCATGTTTACATTGTAACAACAGCAAGAAAACTGATGTGATCAATCTCAAACTTAATTCACCTCGTACCAACTATAAACATGCATGCGCAGAATGGAGTGTAACCAACCTAAAGATGTTATGGAGAAAGTGCGGATAATTTTTAACTTAGTCATGTATATTACAAGAACAACTCTTAAAGACATTTTTTTAAAATTAGCAAGCTTAAATCTTTTTATTTTCTTTTATAATATCTTTTAATATATCTTTTTATTTCTTCTCAAAGATTAACAATTTCTGGTGACAACAAATTGTATGGAATAGATCATTTCACAATGACAATCAATAAAAGTGAATATTAGCTCACTTGTTAATTGGCTTTTCGTGAAAAAGCCGTCGGGAAACCGCTACAGGCAGAAGATATATTATTTACTGCGGTTGACTTTTCTTGGATTCTTTGGTTTGTACTGATAAACCTTAAGAGACGGGAGCAAACCAACTTCAAAGAGCTCACGATTGCATGCTACCAAAATAAGTGAACAAAAAGAAAGAAAAACATACGAAAAAAAAAAAAAAAAAGAAGAAAAAGATCGCCAATCGAAAACAAGTGAGAGCTTATCAACGCAGCTGAGTCACTCACAAGGGAAAATAGAAACAGTGCCGTTTGACTTTTGTTTTAATGATATTTTGACAAGCAAACGGAAAGTAAAAGTGAAGTGCATCTTTTGAACGGATCTTTCGATACTTATTTCATTCCTTGCTGACATTTTTTGGAATCGTTAAGTTCTTATATTTAGTTTGGCATGGCTAAAAATTCTGCCTAAAGTTTCTGTCTTTGATATCAGCTCAAATAAGAAAATTATTCAATACTGGCAAAAATCTTAAAGAAAATAAATAAAAATAACTCTTTTCAAACTCGCATTTGAGACGAACAAAGAATTGAAACAAGAGGAAAAATATATATTTGATGGAATTAATGCGTTAGTCAAAAGCAAACAGTAAAATTTAGATTCGATGTTAGAATTTGCGACAATTGATAGAAATTGAGTCTATTTTTTATCCTTTGTTAAAAGATTCGGATAATATAGTTATAGCTGAAGGGATACTAAAAAAAAAAAAAGAAAAAAAAGTTGTTTTATTTATATTTCCAGTTCGTAAACTTTCTATTTTTGCTCTCCATTGATACAGACATATGCTCCATATATGCGAACGGATGTGCTGATAGCATAAGTCTGTTTCGGCTCAGAAAGCGGATTCAGCGGGCCGGGTTCAAATTCTGACCAAAACCTTTTTCATACACATCTCATTAATGAAAAAAGAAAATCCATGTATCCATCTAAATCTACTTATTTCATTTGCGATGATGTTAACCCTGTACAAGGCTCAAGAGCCACTGAATGTAGAGGATGTCTGAGTGAGAGGCAAAGTTTATGGGAATATGTTAAGATAACGTTTAAAGCAAGACTTGAACAGCTTAAGTTTGTAGTTATCTAGTTTGATTTGGTTTGTTTTGTTTTACGGCATATCAACTTCAATGGGTTATTTAATGCCGACAAGATTTTTATTGCTGGTAATATTTTTTCCAAAAATGTATTGCTGGTAATAACCTTTGCCTCAAAATGCATTGCTGGTAGTGCTTTTTCCTTCAAAAATGTATTGCTGGTAATATTTATTTTCTTCAAAAATATACTGCTGGTAATAATGTATTGCTGGTAATAATTTATCCTTCAAAAAATATATTGTGGGTATTAAAAATTATTTTTAAACTTTCATAGCGTTTTTAGCCACAGTTTCCGGGTCGAATATTTGCCTATATTTGGGCCCCTAACAGGTGCTACCACCCCGGGCCAGGGTGGACCTGGGAACACCAGTAATTAAGAGGTGCTTCTACACTCCTCATAACCTCCTAATCAGACGCCTTGCTTTTGGACGTAGTTTATCTTCTTACCCAGGACGCGGATGTAGTTTTCGCCATACCCAGGATCCTAGTGATCGGGGAAGCATTCTCTTGAGAGTCAGTTTCAGAAGAGGTTCGTACGAAGAAGCTTGTCGCATAAAATTAGCATCTCACCAATGGAATACGAAGGGAACGAGCGTGATTCGCAACAATGTGCTTGCCATAGCGGGTCTTAGACGTTATGCTTTGGAATAAATAGTATGATTTCTTCTCAATGGGCGGCAACCAATTTAGGAGAAGGAAAATTCTCAGTTCAAGCTCCCGCTACCTTGCATTCATACCCAAACATAAAAATACTATTGAAGTTAATCCAGAGAGAAAATACGTAATTGATTCCCAAAGCAGTTGTCTATCAAAATTAACATCTTTTCAGCGAATAATGCAGACTCTAGATGTAATAGCTGTATTCTTGTGGATCTCGTTGGTTGGCTGAAAGGGGTACCCAGTTATCTCAACGTTGTATTGCTACTTTATACGTTATCGTCCAAGCTTCCGCACCTTGGAGTTCACCCAGAAATCTGGACCGATCTAGGTGTTACTACATACCTTTTCAGAAATATCTAAACT